ATACTGGCCCTTACCAAGTAAAGTCAATTCTATGGGATTCAGTTTATCGTTTGTTTTTTAAAAAATATATATATATATGTGTATATATATATATGTATATATATATATATATAAGTAAAGTCAATTCTATGGGATTCAGTTTATCGTTTGTTTTTTAATAAAATGATGAAACTTAGCTGATGTAGTCCTGTGAAAATTAAACAGAATGTTTCTAACAGCAAGAGAATGTTTTAAGTAACTTCTGCCACTTCTAGCACAGAAGGAACAATCCAGTATGGTGTTTGTTAATATTTGTTTCTTCTCTCAGTTTTGAAATAAATGATTTTTAAGATTACACATTATTTTACACTCAAAATTATTAATCTTTCTCGCATTTTTTCAGAAATAGAGTAACTTGGTTAAAGATCACATTTTGTTAATTAACGTTTTAAAAATATAAAACGGGGAGACGGAGGTGGTGCCAAAGGGCGGACCGAAGGAGGGAAGGGGGAGAGTAAGTCCCAGTGTGCAGAGGCGACCTGGGTATCCTCCCAACGAGTGTGAGGCGGTGTGGCAAGAGCTGAACCAAGCGGATCTGCACTGTCCGTGAGGCTCTGCCATCACCACCCCAGCCCGGCCTCCTTCAGCTTCAGGGCTCCAGTCACAGGGTACGCAGGGCCCGGGTCCCTCAGCACACCCAGCTCCAGTCGCCCCCAGAGCATGTCCCTAGCTCTTTGACGGCTGGCCGCCAGCCCTGGTTCTTAACGGGAAGGACGATGGAACTGCAGTCGGCACTGCTACTGCGAAGACAGCTGGCAGGACTCAAAAAAATCCAGAAGAAGGCTTTTCAGCATGTTAAATATGACAATGATCTCTACTGATGGGAAGTTCTTATTACTGTTCCTCAAGATGCACTTCATGAAGGTGGTGTTTTTAAGGCTCCTCGCACTTTTACAAAGATTATCCCTTCCCGCCGCCTCAAATGAAACTGATTACAGAAATCTGGCACCCAAATATTAATAAAAATGGTGATGTGAAATATGGCTATGAAAAGCCAGAGAAGGCAGGCTTCCTAAACACACTGGGGAAACCACCATGATTAGTGTCACTTCCATGCTGGCAGACCCTAATGGAGCCTCACCTGCTAATGCTGATGCTGCGAAAGAATGGAGGGAAGGCAGAGAATTTAAAAGGAGAGTTCCTGCTGTGAAAAAGCCAAGAGACTGCTCTTGAGTGACATTTATTCAGCAGCTAATAACTTCACTTATTTCATAATCTCCAATTGAGAAACATGGCACTGTTTTTCTTGCACTCTGCCCTCCTACTGCTGGACTTCTGTTCCATCAAGTTGGCAAACACTGGCTGGAATTGAGCTGCGATACAACATTCCAGTCAGTCATCAATGCTGACGAGAGCCTAACAAGTGCCAATTTACAGGTGATTAAGCATTCTGAATTCTAATGAACAGTTTTTACTTCAGGAAGAACCGTAGAGACCTGCACCTAGCACAGCATGATTTGGATGATGCATATGCTGGTCACGTACATCCACAAATACACCTTGTGCCAAGTAATGCTTTCTTGTAGTACAACAAGAATTGTGTGAATTCTAAAAGATTTTAGCAGGTTTTCCTTCCCTATTCATAATTTCTTATCAGTTTTAAAAGACACCTTAAAGCATGTCAGAGGAAAAGCAATTAGGACTACAAATTTCCATTTAATTTCCTCTAAACCATTGAGGCTTCATGAAACTCTTTTCACTTATTAAACTTCTGTATCTTCTTTGTTTTGACGCATTCCCCTTTGCTTTCATCTCTTCTATCCACCAGAAAGTTCTCAAATCATTAAGTTCAAGTGCTAAAATGCTTAATAAGCAATTGCTTGATTTCTAATGATGACTTCGGAGGAGTGGTCATCACTAGGTGCTTTGCCCTTTTTTGTATTCTAATTGAATTCACAATCTTGGAACCCACATAGAAATGATTTTTTTTATTTTATTTTTTTTTTTTTTTGGCTGTTGAGAGCTCTTGAATCAAGTCACTACTCTTGGAAACTAAAAAGAGTTGGTTTTGAATTCAACTTATTGAAATTTACCCTGAACAATAAAAAATTCTGATTTGGTTTTATTTTTGCCCTTTATTTCCATAATGTTAAGGTTGGATAAATGAAGCATGCACAGCTACAGACTTTCTACCTCTCGGTTTCCTGTTAAAAATGCTCATTACCCTGTCCTTCTCCTCAGTCATTCATATTTCTTTTACTTCTATTTTTCTATACTGCAGATTTTTCTCACCTATTGTCCTTCTCCTCAGTCATTCATATTTCTTTTACTTCTATTTTTCTATACTGCAGATTTTTCTGCAGTATTAATAAATTACAATGTTTATTTTCATGTAATTTGATTTTGGAATCCCCCTATGTAGTGTGTTCTTCCAAAATATATTTTTTTCCAATAAAAATATTTAAAATAAATGTTTTTTAAAAATCTCTGTTTTTATTGACTTCATCAAGAACTTCTTTCGTTTTTATCTTTTATCTTCTTTCTTTTTCCTGAGAAATTATATTTCATTGGAAATCCTTCCCTGTGTTTTGTCAGTGTTGAATATGTATTCTGCAGAGAGATTCAGGTGGATCAGAAGT